GCCTCCTAGACTCCGTGGTTCCCGAGATATTAACTTACCCGTAAAAAACTTTCACAGGGCCGTACGAGTTACCCGCGGGTACGGGGAAGCTGAACTTGAATTTGCGTCGTAAAAAACTTTCACGGGGCCGTATGCGTTACCCGCGGGTACGGGGAAGCTGAATTTAAATCTGCGGAACCGTGAAAAACTTTCACGGGGCCGTACACGTTACCCGCGGGTACGGGGAAGCTGAATTTAAATTTGTGGGGTCACACGTTCACGGGGCCGTTTGTGTTACCTGTGGTACGGGGAAGCTGAATTTAAATTTGCGGGGTCACACGTACAGGGCCGTACGCGTTACCCGCGGGTACGGGGAAGCTGAATTTAAATTTGCGGGGTCACACGTGGTTAAAAAACTTTCACAGGGCCGTACGCGTTACCCGCGGGTACGGGGAAGATGAATTTAAATTTGCGGAGTCACACGTGGGTCGTGTTACCCGTGGGTACCGGGAAGCTGAATTTAAATTTGAAGGGTCACACGTGAGTGGGGAACGTCTTACCCGCGGGTACGGGGAAGCTGAATTTAAATTTGCGGGGTCACACATGGGTGGGGAACGTCCGGCCGTACACGTTACCCGTGGGTACGGGGAAGCTGAATTTAAATTTGTGGGGTCACACGTGGGTGGGAAACGTTACCCTATTCAGCGCTTTCCTAGCTTTTGTGGTTCCCGAGTTGAAAGTTGCGGACAAGTTGCTGCGGACACACACACACACACACACACACACATACACACACAATCACACACAGACAACCCCGTAACAATATGCGTTTTGTACTGCTGTTACACAGCACAAAACGCATAAAAATGACAAGATGAGAGGATAGCTTAGGAAGGAATCGTCTTTTCTTTCAATCAGATTTAGATCCAAGCAGTTTTTAATGGTAATTCTTTATTCTCCGTGCTCATTTTATGGTTGCTGCATTATTAATTTCAGAGGAATGACAACGCATTCTGAATGCCATTCTCAACGATCATGGCATATTCTTCGTCATAAGCAGTGCGCGTGAAATAGGCAAAATGCTGAAGCAGCTCAGCTAGCGGTAAAAAGTGAAATAGAGTTTCTGAAATGCAAGTGCACTGTACTGGGATTTGTCACTAAAAAGCGTGGACTCAGACAAACTGGCAAGACAACAAAAAGAGTGAACATTTTGGAGCATGAAATCAGAACAACTGGGTGCTAATAAATGCTGTGATTTGGCGCTGCTTGCGTCCCTAAAATATGAAACCTGAAGCACCGAGCCCAATACCAACGTGTTGAAGTAAAGCAATTGTAAAAGATGTGCCACTGACGAAAACGGTAAGGGAAATGAGAGATGAAAATAATGGTGGAGTAGGGAATGCTCCTAGAATAACTACCTAGAATATAAAATTTCCCGTAAATCGGGCGCCGTGCAAGGCATCACTGAAGCCATCGAAGAAAACAAAATTTCTTGTTTTCCAAAGTCGGTTCAGTTTGCAAGTCTGTGAGTGGTGTCGGTAAGGCAGAAATTTGCCATCTGGATGCACTGGACACGGCACATTAGCTAACATTTCGCTGTCATCAAGTTCCACTCTGATAGCCTGGGCGTTCTTGGTGACGTGTGTGATTAGTATCAAAATGCAGGCTGTTGTACAAGTAAACATTTTCAAGTGCTTCATTCCGAAAAATAGTCAACATTGCTGGCTGCCCTTAGAAAAATCCAACTGAACTACTGGCTACGTTTAGATATTAACTGGCATCCGGAAACATGGCTTTGAATTCATGTGATATTATAAAGTACTTCATTAAAATCAAGAATGTACTAACATAATTTCGGACTCGTACTCATCGTTCTCTTCTCCCTCCGCCTCCTCATCATAAACATCCTCTAAATTCTCGATGTCGGCAGAATCGTAACTTTCATCGACGGGATGCTGAAAATGCCCATTCTCTTCTGCAGCAATATTATCCTCTTTGTCACTGATCGGTATTTTGGCGTTCTGGCTGGAATCTTCGGTTGCTAACGACTTCTCTTTTTTTAATGACTCCTGGCGTGCTAGCTCAGCCTGAAAATGCGGAAATTCAAGCCAGTTTAAGCAGATGGATAAGTGTAAACGCTTTAACTGTTGCTAATTCTAATTACAACAGCCCCAAAATAAAATGAGACTCGTCAAAAAGCCACATTTTGAATTTCGGAGAATTGCTCTATTTTTGACAGAGGCATGAAAGAAATCAGTGACTTACTACACTACTCCCCAATTCTTTTTAGCACCATTAGAACACCAGCTTAGCGATGAAGTGCGAAGTAGGCGTGGCAGGTGGTTATACAGCTTTTCAGGAGCCATATGATAAATCGACGTTTATCGATCTTGGTTATTCTAACATTTTTATGCGTTTTTTGCAGCAATGCAATGCGAAAAACGCACATTGACGGGACGTTGTCTGTGTGCCCGTGTGTCTGTGTGTGCGTCTGTCACGCACTTTCATCTCAGGACCTATAAAAGCTTCGGGGCTGAAATTTCGGGAACTTAATCTACATGCACGTACGCCTCCCAATCCCCAAAATGGGCGCCAAAACCTGTGTGTTATCCGCGTACGGGCCCGCCAAAGTTTTTTTAGGGTCAGTTCATAACTCGAGGATCTGAGAAACTAGAACGCTGAAATCTTGGGATAATGTTCTCCGCCCATCCTGGTATTAGTGGGCTCAAACCCAGCCCCCGGGTAAGCGTGGTATCCGCGTACGAGCCCGCCAAAATT